CACCTATGTGGCCTTCAAGAGACCTTCGCTACAAGGACGGCCTGAAGACCACAAACTATGTGGACGTGAGCAAGATCAAGAAGTCCGGACGTCCTCGTGCATCGAGCCCCTGAGTCTGAAGACTGGCACTAGGAAACGTATCCTGGGAGAACTCAATCAACGCATCCAGTGGTTAGAGAGAAGGCACATGCCTCAGAAGAAGAATATCACTGTGACAGCAATTTTCTCAAACAAATCTTGCATACGCGTTTGATTGGTGAAGTTTACAGCCCAGACCGGTTCCTGTCCAAAGCCAACCGGCATGGACTTGAATCAGGACGTGTATATGACCTCGAGCTTGGTCATCAGCTGTTGGATCCAGACAGCAGAAAGCGTTGCCTCAATCACTTTAAGAACAATCGATATGGTCTGGTTGCAGCGACTCCACCATGTACCATGCTTTCTCTCTTACAGTATTTGGGCATTGGAAGAACAAAAGAGTCATGTCAACAGGACCCAGAGTTTCAGAAGCGATATCAGGATGCACTGACACTTCTCAATTTTGCCTCTATCATATGTGAACTGCTGTTGCGACGGGGTGGTAGCTTTCTGTTTGAACAACCATGGAATGCTCTATCATGGAAGGAAAGTTGCCTTCAAACCTTACTGCGGGATCCCAGATGTGAGCTTGTGAGAACCGATCAGTGTATGTTTCAGCAAAAAGATGCACACGGCAATCTGCTTAAGAAAAGTACGGGTTTCCTTACAAATAATAAGTATGTTGCCAAGTGTCTCAGAAGGGCGTGCAATCGACGGCATCTACATGGTCGGTGTGTTGGAAGTATTCCGAGGAAAATCCGTAGCAGCTGGTGCAGCCAAATACACTGATTCATTGGTTCATGCCGTGTTGAAAGCATACGATAGATCATGCTCAGATGCCACTGAGTCCACCGATCTCTTTGCGAGCAGCATTTAGTGGCAAACCACTACAGCAAATCATCAGACTGCAAAAGAGCCCAGAAATACAGCATGACCTTTCAACAGCATCCGATGACTGGTGTTTTGTTGCTGATCCAACCCAGGTGACATACCAATTTGCGCATGGTCCAAGCGTTGCACAATTCGCTGCCAGTGTCGTTCGAGGCGATGAAATGCCGTTGCAGCCAGCCCGTTCCAGCACCCAACGACTTGGAAGAACAGGAACTTCAGAAGCTGTCACCACAACAGCGTAGGGCCTTGTCTCAAGAAATAGATAAAGCTCACGGGGGTATGGGACTTCCGAACCACAGTCGTTTCCTAAGAATTCTGAAGCTGGGTGGCGCATCTCCTGCAACCATGGCACTGGCAAAAATGTACTCATGTTCTCAATGCAAGGAGAACACCAGACCCAAGCCTTGGCGTCGTGCATCTCCTCCAAGAGAGTTGAAATTCAATGAAGTCGTCGGCATTGATACTTTCACAGTAAAGCACTTTGACCATAGCATCAAATGCCTTAACATAATCTGTTGCGGAACACGATATCAAATGGTCATACTACTACAAGGTGAACGTACCGCCGATGCAAGAGCAGCCTATCGCCAGTGGGTCAAGTTGTTTGGACCACCGAAGGTACTCAAACCAGATCAGGGCACGGAATCTCTAAGGGATTTCCTCTATCGCTGTTCAACCGACGGCACTGAGGTGGATGCATCAAGCTTAGAAAGTCCGACTCAAAACAGCATCACTGAACGAGAAGGAGGTAGCTTCAAAACAATGTTCAACAGGGCCAGTTTGGACTATGGTAGAACTGATGATTTGAGAGAAATTCAAGGATTGTTGGAAACAGTCATGATGTACAAAAACCGATTGACTCATCGAGGAGGATATTCTGCTATACATCGTGTTTTTGGATTCACACCGACAATTCCTGGGGATGTGTTGCTTTCCATAGAACAAGAAGACAACCTTCAACATCATGACATGTTAGCCACAGGTGATGTCACCTTGCAGCGACAACAGCGAATGCGAGAGTGTGCAGGAAGAGCCTTCTTCTCGGCAGAATGCGCAGCAGCAATTCGAAGAGCAGTAGCAAGCGGTCCCAGAAACACAAACAACGAGCTTTTTGAAGTTGGTCAACTGGTCTATTTTTGGTCCAGGGGTCAATTTAATGAAGTAGGAGTTCACCACTCAGCCACTCGAAGACCAAACCATGCCTTTTGGAATGGACCATGTCGTGTCATTGCAACTCAATATCCTTCCAGCATTTACATTGCCTTTCAGGGTAGGTTGATAAAAGCTGCACCAGAAAAATGTCGCCGAGTCAGTTAGGATGAAGATGCATCATGTAGTGATATTTTGAAACGCTTGCGCACTCTTCGTGATTACATCAGAGAAAACAAAATCAGCGGCTTAAGTGACATTCGAGGAGAACCTTTTCCTGACTTTGATCATCCAACTGGACGCAAAAGAAGTTATAGCAAACAACCACCAGTTGTTCGACCAAAGGTTCCCAGACTTGAGCCACACACCGAAGTACCTGCCATAGGTCAAATGTCAGAGGGTTATCCTTCACCTTCAATATTCGAGGACTCCGATGCAGAAACAATGGCGATGGAAAGTGATCAAGAACTGCTTTTGGAAATAGAATCTGGCATCACTTCAAATGAAACTTGGGTGAGTTCCGTGGAGCCTAACGTAGCAGATGTTAACAAACGAGCCAGTCGAGAGATCAAACTCAAAGACTTGAACTCTCATGATGCAGAACTTTTCAAATCAGCCATTGAAAAGGAGTGGAACACCAACGTTGCCAATGGAGCCATCAAGGTTCTCTGCCAGAGTCATGCAAAGCCGCATGTTGCATGTTGCCAAACCATTAGATGATCCGAATCAGCTCAAAAAAAGAACAGGTTTTGCACTGTAGCCCAACTGGTATTCCATGCAAAGCCAAGTCAAGATGGATTGCTCGAGGAGACAAAGATCCGGATCTCTTTTCAGTTTGTGCATCATCACCGGTGATTCACCAGGATACTATCATGCTAGGCTTACAAGTTCTGGCCTCCAAACATTGGAGGATGCACTCTGTAGATTTCAGCCAAGCTTTTATGCAAGGAGATGGACTGCAGCGCGATCAACCACTGTTCTGCGAGCCTCCGGTGAAAGACTTGCCAGGTGTCCAACCAGGATCATTCATTCATATATGCAAGACAGTTTATGGTTTGGTTGATGCACCTTTTCGCTGGAATCGACATTTGGATAAACTATTCAAGTCCATGGGATATGAGCCTTCACTTCTTGATGCTTGTTGCTACATGCTTCACTCTGAGGACAACAGTACGTTGGAAGGTATCATCATGGTAGCCACAGATGATTTGATCAGTGGTGGAAATCTCCGTCATCAAAATCTGATGGAGGAAATGAAACAGAAAAACAAATTTGGAAAATGGGAGTATGATGTTGGTCGGTTCTGTGGTAAGGATTTACAACAGCACAAGGACTATTCCATATCAATTTCACAAAGGTATTATGCCGAAAACAAATCAAATGCAAAGATCGAATCCATATTCCAAAGGGACTTTCAAATGGCACACCATGTACGCCTGAACAAGTGAAGACACTGCGAGAAAAAGTTGGGGCACTGAGCTGGTTGCCCAAAGAGACTCGCATTGACCTTTGCGGCTGTGTGCCACTCCTGATGCAAGTATTTCCGAATCCCACCATCGGTGATCTCAAGACATGCAACAGGATTTTGAAAGAAGCCATGTTGTACAAAGACTTGTCAGTATGCATTCGACCGATTCAGCCACATGATCTATGCATTGTTGTTTCATCCGATGCTGCATGGGCCAATGCTAGAGATGATGAAGGGATTATGTTGTCTTAGCTGCTGACCGTAACATGTTGCGTGGAGAGGAAGCATGTTTCTCTATGATTGGATGGAAAAGCCATACTCTTAAAAGAAGAACAGTATCCACCTTGAGTGCCGAGACTCAAGGAATTGTAGAGAGTGCAGCAGTTGCATGTTGGTACAGGCATTTGCGTGCGGAATTGTTTTACCGAACTCTGGTTCGACGTGATGGAATTGATTGGGAAACTATGATTGAGCCACTAGAGTTTGGAGTGGTCACCGATGCAAAGTCAGTGTATGATGCTTTAGCATGTCCTACCGGGTCAGGTTCCACCAACAAACGCACCACCATCGACCAGGCCATCATCCGTGAATATCTGAGAAGACACAATGGATGTATCAGATGGATTGATGGTAATGTCCGAGTGGCCGACAGTTTGACAAAATTCATGACTGCTGATTTCCTCCGTTCAGTGATGCAGAGAGGCTCTTATCAATTGAGGGCAAGAGTATGAAACTTTGAAGCTGAAACAACAAGCCCGAGATGAAAAGACTCAACGAAAGAAAATCATGCCTGTGAAAAAATCTAAACCAACAGACAGTGTTGGGGATGTGAAAGTCATTTGATGCTCCTGCTACCACACGACACATGCTTGGTTTCAGATTCCAAATATCTGCTGCTTTTGCCTCGAGACTCGAGGGGTTGGTTACGTGTGCCCGCGCTGTCCAAAACAAGCGCTATGGTGCGCAGCTATCGTTGATTTCTGTTTGTTGCCATCCCCCTTTAGGAGTTCAAAGTATCTCTCCTTGGTGTCGTTGCCGTTGATTAATCAGCTGCCAAGGGTTCTTGACAGGTATATAATTGCGATTTTGTACAATTTGTTCATCAAAGTTTTCCAGTACCGCTTTCTGCATCAGTGAGACGAAAAGACTCCAGTTACTCAGTGTCCCATCAAGTGCGGCACGCTTGAAAACGAACTGGGAATGGACCTACTGGTTGTATGTCTATATGTAGGATATGGGTTCACATTTAGCAGTAATTGCGCATGCAGTTGCTGACTGATTCACGTAGGTGTTGTGAGCAACCTTCGACTGTTTCGTTCAGGCATGGAAAAAAAAAAACGTTTTTTCACCAACCTATAGAGAAAGCACAATATCCAAATTAAAACAATCGGCAAAGCACTTTCAGACAAAACACGGAAAAGTCAATGATGCCAGCATCTTGATAAGCATCTGGTGAGCTGGAGGGCGCCTATGCTGCAGCCGGCGAATGAACCAGGTTTGTATCCAATCACACAACACAACTGTCACTGCAACGGCATCTGCTTACCAAGCACCGTGCCACGCCCTTGTAGGTGACTCCAGACTGATGCATCCAGTAACTAGACATCTCCGTAACGAAGATGTGGTGCCCGGCCAGTGGCCCTGCTGTGCAGCTCAACAATAC